GTTATGAATCTTTGGTTTAAACAGTTGAAATTAATTAAAATGCATACACAAATTGGTTGAGAATTCAAATAATAAACAGATATTAACGCCGAACAATTTCACCTATTGATCACCTTTAAGTCTTACGTTGTTATGAATTGTTTTTTTTTTTTTTTTTTACCCAATATCTTCGTGTAATTGAAATGGAACAAAAAGATTTCGCATCGTGGCCTTTCTGGAGTTGCCACTAGGAGAAAAATCTTCGCCTTTAATTGTCATCATGTGGAAGAATTTTTTCCGACATGGAAAGGAATAAAGGCCCAAAAGCACATGGAAATACCATAGAAAATTGACAAAATCTTCCTTCACCAACCAATGTGAATCCACTATTTAAATAATATGTACAAGAAGTATAAAATTTTATCTTTCGTAAAAGAGAACTTGATTGCTCTATTTAGTCGGTTCTTTTTGGGATCTGAAAGAAACAAAGAAAGAAAGAGGGTTATGAAAACAATGTTTCTCAGGAACTAATGTGACATTAGCAAACAAAGACTTAAAGTTGGCACTATGCACATGTTGACTATCTCTGGAAGAGACAAGGAGATAAGTTACCTTCGTATAATTTCACTTTCCTCCACGTATAAGTTACCTACGTACTTGGAATCTAGCGTGGCTCAAAATCAAACGCTCTCCGAACATAAAAAGGCGGGGGACACCTGATCAAATGCACTCAAACGCTCCAACGGAAAAGTAATTAGGTGTGGGAGTGAAAAACGAAGAAGGAGAGGAAGCCATGGTTTACATTTGTAGAATGAGAATACCAAAATATCAATTACGGTTACCAAATCACCAAGTGCGAGTATATATAGACGAGAAATAAGTTGAGGCTCTCCAAGGCATCATCCCAGTGGCTCACTAATTAAACTCAATGATGTCACATTATCGCATACTAGGTATCATAGGCTTGTGATCCCTACACACAAATTTAGGGGAAAAAGAGGGAATTTGATTCATAATTGTTATCGTAGAAGACATCACATCAATCACATTTCACATGATTCTGAATTGTCAGAATGCTACTTGCGTTAGTGCCCCGATATTGACTACAACTGCCTCAAACTTTAGGGACCCCCGCTTGATGTGGCTAAGGGTTATGTCTTCCCTCCATTCCCTCGGAACTAGGAAATGGTGCTTTTGTGGATGGTTATGTTGCCTCGGAAGCTTTCGTCTAAGAGGTGTTGAGCAATGTTCTCAACATCTCACAAAATATTCTCAACACCTCGCAAAATAATTGTTGATGAGCCAATGGAACATGTTCTCATTGTCTCAAAAATATAGTGCTTACGTGGTATTTTGCTTAGCTAACGTGACTTGTCTTATAAGCAGAGATGTAATAATTTGTAAGAAATTATGTAGAAAAAACATATTTTTCATAGAAAATATTGATAATCAAACGCGTCCTTATATTTTTTAGCCAACGTGATAGGGTTAGCTTTTATTGAAAGTCTTTTTTTTCTTTTTCAATGTATGAAAAACAAAAATCAACAATATCTTTAGACGGCCAAAATTGACTGACTTTTCGAGCCTAACATCAGTGCAGACCGTAATACTCTCCGTACAAAATTCAATTCGAAATATTTCCACAGATGACCAAAAATCATAAAATTAAAATAATTTCCGCTCAAAGTCAAATAAAGGAAAATTTAGTGTATTCCAAAAGGCTTCATTTTTTGTCAATAGCAAACTCTAGTTAATAATTGAATGCGAAATAAAAGATGGTCAAACTTCAAAGATAAAAAGAAACAAATAACTATGTTTTTTTTTTTTTATATGTTCAAAATATTCACTTTTGTAGTTATTTTTGTACCGTAATTGAAAAGGCTAATATTTCTTACCAAGTGTTAAAAAGTTAGGCCTGCCAGGGGCCCGACATCGTTAAGTTCAACCTTCATCGATCATTGGGCTTGTCCAGTCCAATTGACAAACCCTAGTTAATAATTGTTGGGATACTTATAAAAATACCTTTAAAATTAGGGATGTTTTGAAAAATCATATGAAAAGTTTTTAAAAAATAAAAAATACTGTGTAAAATAAAAAAGTGACACAATGTCACTTTTTTTTTCACTTTTTACTTTTTTTAAAAAAAGTGACACAAACTCAAAAAAAGTGACAAATCCCAAAATAATATCATCCATTTGTGCAGCACCAGTAATTATGTTCTTAAAAAAAAAGTTATATTGAAAAAGTGACAAACGGCCACTTTTTAAAGTTAAGTGACACTTTTTTATTAAAAAATGGCATGCAATGTCACTTTTATTGAAAATTGATGTTTGTCACTAAAAAAAGTTATAGAAATGGAGAAGATGACTGAAAAAAATGATAAACACTAAAAAAAAAAGTGACAAAATTCAAAAAAGTGACAAATTTCAAACAAGTGAGTAAAAAAAGTGACTGAAAAGTGACCATCACTTTTAAAGTTAATTGACACTTTTTTTATTAAAAAATGACATGTAATGTCATTTTTATTGAAAATTGATGTTTATCACTAAAAAATGTGATAGAAATCAAGGTGACTGAAAAAAGTGATAAACACTAAAAAAAGTGACAAAATTCAAAAAAAGTGACAGTAAAAAAAAGTTACCAATGTGACCAACTATCACTTTTTAAAGTTCAGTGTCACTTTTTTATCAAAAAATGACATACAATGTCACTTTTATTGAAAATTGATATTTGTCACTAAAAAAAAGTGGTAGAAATTAAGAAAGTGATTGAAAAAAAGTGATAAACACAACAAAAAAAAAGTGACAAAATTCAAAAAAAATGACAATTTTTTTCAAAAGTGACAAATTCAAAAAAGTAGCACAAATTAAAAGAAGTTATATAGATTAAAAAAGTGACAGACAATAAAAAAAGTGACAAACACTCAAAAGTAGCATTATTATTTCCTAGTATTAGTCCCCTACTCATAACATCGGCATGGTAGAATTATAAAAACCAGCACAAATATCAAACTATGATACATGATTTTCCCACTTTGTTCTTGCGCAATTACCAACAATACATGCAAGAAAGCCTCCAACAAGCAGAATGTCAATGACATCAGTAGCTTACACAGATTGAAAGGTGTTAAACTAGATGACTTCACCTGAT